GAATTAAAATGCATAAATATTTTTTCTTAGTGTAATTTAAAAAGATTATACCCAACCAAAGAAAAAAAAATGTTATTGGCAAAACCTTTGAGAGTCCGTCCATAATGTTCTGTCCTTTAATACCTACCAAACCCGAGCTTTATTGGCCGCCGGCAAGTAACTTCTATAATTGCGGGTAAAAGCCAGTAGGATGAAGATTGATACAGGCTGTACTAGTATGTTCAATTTTTTTCAACCTGTGTTAGTCGTTCATAAATTAGCCACAATTTTGAAACTCTCTTAGAAACTACATCTTTATATTTTACATAGGCTTTTGCACCAAACATTTGCAAACTAAATTTAATAGTAAACTAAAAATTTTTCGGTATTTCAAAATTACAAATTCAACTGAAATGTAAATTAAACCGAATTGCGTGTTCCTGTTAAAACTACATAATAACAATAAGAAATAGGATTCTTGCAATGGCGAATTGAAACTATACTCGAGATTATCCTCTCCTCCAAAATTGAGAGGGATCGTGATAAAAAATACTCGAAAATCGTTGAACGAGTCAAAGTTGAAAATTGAATCAAAAAACGACCATCACTTTTTCAAAAATTATTTTAATTCTTATTAATTCATTTTATATATATATATATATATATATATATATATATATATATATATATATATATATATATATATATATATATATATATATATATATATATATATATATATATATATATATATATATATATATATATATATATATATATATATATATATATATATATATGTATATATATATATATATATATATATATATATATATATATATATATATATATATATATCAAAGACATTATTTAACTAATTCTTAAACTCTCATACTTGCAAATGTTTTTTCATTATTTTGTTTTGTCAGCATATCACATATTCCATTGATCCAAGACCTATCGTGACCTTACTTGCCGTAGATTTGTGTTAGGTGAATTGAAATTATATCAGTTCGCCCCATTGTAGTTGGTAGTACATTGACCATCAATTGATTTATTTAATAATGATATATATAAGGAATATCCGACTACGATACTTTCCAATTCGGGAATCCCAATAATAATATGGACTCCATTTGGTTCCCAGAACGACATGAGGGCGACGTATTGTATATAAAATACATATAAATTTCATGGCATTTTTTAAGTTATTTCGGTAAATTGACTGGTCAATTGACACAAAAAATTTGACCGGACAATTACACAACCTTATGTGTAGGTAAGGACATACTTATATTATGTACTTAAAATTTTTGCTAATAATTATACTCTTATTTTTATAACTCTCTAACCAAAAATTTGTATTAATTTTCTGATTCGTTTAAAATGAAAAATAATAAATAATTCAACAATTGCTGACTTGTGTCTATATAAAATTGTTTGCTAATTTCATTTATATTTTTAAACATCTATTTTTAGATAAAAAATAGTAAAAAAGGTATATTTTTTATAAGGGGATTCAATTTGCATTTTGCAGTCGAGCTATGAGGACAAATTGATCTTTCTCCGCAAAAATAAACATAACCCCAACTAATATCGACGCTCGCCATATTTTTTTATATCCGGGTGCCTATTTTAATTACGTCAAAACCCACTAACGGTTGAAATGAATAATCCAAATGGTATTTTAGGGATTGCCGAGCAATAGATATTCCGAAGCGTACCCGAAAATTCCAGAGAAATTCAAAAGTCACAGGAATTTATTATGTCAGAAATCGTCCCGCGTTCACGTTATTTGCAATAGAAATTGGAGGGCACAAATTGCATTCGCACACGACGACCATGCCTTAATTCCGGAAAATTCCCGGCAGCATTTTGTTCGGAAAGATGGGTTACTGAAATTCGAAAATGCCATCGAATTGCGTCGGCTTCTTTTCGTTCTTCAAAAGTCATTTTTGAAACATGCGGGGTTATTTTACGATAATATCAGACAAACAACAGTAGTAGATCAGTGACGCTGATCGTATAATTAGAAATATTCGTTGATAAAAAGCTCGATTAGACTGAATTCATAATTATTTCTTGTTGACCTGCGTAAGATTAATAAAAAATGTATATCTTTGTCAAAATTTATTTGACATCCTTATAATGTTAATTAAGTGCATGAAATACGAAACTCTCGGAAGAAATAACAAAACACAACCACTGCTCCGAAGAAGAAATATCAGAGAACCTCAGAATTCAACTCTTCCATAATATCAATCGGGATCTTAAACAATACTTATCCATCATACGTACAACTCTCAATAATGTTAGAAGCTGTATATAAACAAAAAAATAAGCACTTTTGTGCAGCGACATTAACGTCAAATTGCTTGAAAACAAGAGAAAAACTAAAATACTAAAAAATATAATTCTTGAGTATAATTTAGTTGTTTCTATAGTAGAGCCCACTTGAATAACTTATCATTCTAGAACATGCATTGACAATATTTTCGTCTACTTTACCAGACTAAAAAGCTTGGTTGTAGACGCATGTGTCTCTAACCACACGTTTCAGCTCTTCATTTTTGAGGAGTTCTGTCATAATAATTGTACGGAACGAGTTTTCAGAAAGTTTAGCAAAAATAATGTAAATTCTTTTATAGATTTCATATCCAACACAGATTGAAATAATTTGCTGTACGATATTCAATCCGATGACTTAGATAAAAATTTTAACACTTTTTACGAAAAACTAAAACAAATATTTATGTCAAGTGTTCCATTTGTAAAAAAAGGAAACGACTCGTACAGGCAAAAAAACCAATTGGTTTAATAGAGAATTAAGAGAGCTGAGTCGTGCGGTACGCGAGATGAATAAAAGAATAAAAAATTATCTATATAATAAAAAATACATAGAACTTAAATCCTCTTACAACAAAAAACTTAAACACGCAAAGAAAACTCACCACAATTTAGGGTTATTGAAATCTGATAACATAAGTAGGGAAAGTTGGACAATAGTCAGGGAAAATAGCAACCATAAAAGTAAATCCTCTTCTATAACTAACATAACTGTTGGTGGTGAAACAATTCAAGACGGATACAAAATCTGTGAAACTTTTAATAAATATTTTGTTGATTGTGCTATCAATAGCAAGCAGCATCAAAATCTAACGCCCGATATCCAAATACACTCAAGCTCTATGTTTCTCTACCCTGCTACAACAGTAGAGATAAAACAAGTAATTTGAAAAGTATGCCGTAAGAAATCATCTGGAATCGATGAAATACAGGGCACGTTGTTGATTTCTATTAAAGATGTTATAGCTCCTATTCTATCATATTTAGTCAATTTGAGCTCATTGCAAGTATCCAAAAGACTTAAAAAACTCAAAAATCGTACCGATTTTTAAAAATAAAAGCAATAAAACCAACATAGAGAACTACCGCCCGCTAGCTCTTCAATGTCAAGTGGCAAAAATCTTTGAGTCCTGTTATAATGGCAGACTGCAGAGGTTCCTTGAAAAATATTCTTTGATTTCTAATGGTCAAAACGGATTCAGAGCCAACAGCTCCACAATTACAACACTGGTCTATGCTCTGGGGCATATCTACGACAGCCTTAACAATAAAACAGTCACACTAGGCTTATTTTTTGATTTAACCCTCGCATTCGACACTGTCGATCACAGCCTGCTCTTAAAAAAACTGGAAAATATCGGCGTTAGAGGTCCAGCAAACTCATGAGTCAAATCTTACCTCTCCGAGAGAGTACAGCAGGTTATGATCGACGGTTCGAAATCGAGCCCTCAATATGTAGGCAGCGATACCCCGCAAGGATCCTGCCTATCACCGCTCCTCTTTAATTGTTTTATTAACGATTATTTGTACTGTATGCAGATGACACAAGCATTTTAGTTACAGATAAAAGCAGAGCTAATCTAAAAGGGACCGGAGAAACAAGGATTACGAGGGTGAATGAATGGTGTCGCGATAACGGACTACAATTAAATAGATCCAAGTCGCTGGCTACGGAAATAGGCACAAAAAATACTCGCGTTGAATCTAGTATTTTTATCCAATTAGAGGATCGTTCTGTAGAAAAGATGGAGGCTACTAAGTTTTTCGGTTTGCACATTGACAATAAACTTACATGGAATCATCCCATCCACAACATATTTCCAAATTAAGCTCCCGCTCATACGTAATCCAAAATATTAGAGATACGGTATCCATTGAAGTTTTAAAGCTGGTGTACTATGGGCTGTTCCTGTCACACCGGGTCTTCTTAGCACAAAAACGTGCTATTCGTTACATGATCCGTGTAACTAGTAAACATTCATGTAGGGATTTAATTAGGGAACTTCAGATCATAACACTTCCGTCATTATATATAAAGTAACATGACAATATGGAATAGGAAATGTGACTTGCACGACCATGACACGTGGCAAAGAGATTATTTGGACGTTCCATTCTCTAAACTGCATATCGGGCGGTATTTTGGCTTGAAAATATATAACAGAGTATTAAATTTCTATAAATACTTCGAAGAAACTGATAGTTTATCTGTGAAACGTCAGCAATTTCGACTCAGCAAAAACCGACGCAGGAGGAATCCAGAAGTTTTGTAAAAAGTAATTTATCTTTGTTTAGGTAAAGAATTAAGATCTTTTTAACTCACAGATGTCTCTACTCAGTAGATGATTTTTTTAAATGTAATTTTTAAATGTATTGCTTGAACACTGTATTTTAATGTGATGTGACGTGCTTAATATACCCATATATGTGTTATATGTAGTATCGAAAATTGAAATAAATATCTATCTATATCTATCTATCAATCAATAACCTAAACTCAAAAATAGTTATTCTCAGCTAACAACCAGTGCAGAACCTGTTCGCAATTTTGTTGAACAAATAATAATGTACAATATCCGTTGATGTGGTTCATGTAAAATGTCAAAAAACTTACATTGGAAGACAATTAGCATTCCGCATATATATTCTAAACCTTTTATGGTAATTTTTTTCAGAAATCCCTGGGTTCCCCTTACGCCAGAAATGTATAGGCACGACCAGGATCTCAAGAGTTCCTATTTTCGGCGAAAAGCTCCACAAGTGGACCCCAGCAGGTACACATGGATGCCGTCGGATGATGAATCTGTCAGAATGGAGAAACCCAGATCTATTCTGGACGTGTCCTATCGCATGAACCAGGTTCAAGTGGCGACACCACCTGCTCCTCCGGGGTAAGTCCGTTAGTCCGCGTGGATATGGGTATTCCTTTGCCTAGCAATGGTCTATATCCGGCATAGTTGGGCATAGGTATGTCGTGAGGTAATCTCAAAGTATCGTTAGCAATAGCTTTAGCAATTTGATCCTTCGTGTCTTGGGATACGATACCCTCCAATTCATTTATATGTTGTTCCGGAACTTTGCGTTGGTATATTGGCTCACAACAAGTCCTCTTTTGAAAGTCGTCCCATATTTTGCCGCACTTCATAAACTTTTCATTTAATGGCTTATAAATATCTGCCTGAAATTTCACATCTTCACTGCGATCTCTCTCGCTTACCGCGGGTGATATTTTTTTAAACCACCGCGTAGCTTCGCATTCCGCGCTTCTCCACTCAGAGGTGTACACGTAATTGATAATCGTATCTCTGGTCTCTGTATCGGATACGTCGTCAAAACATACCGCTGGGGCCAGTAAAATTCTTGGCCTAATCCTGATATCTTTCGGTTTTTGTTCCAACGAAAACTGCTCGAAATTTTCAGCCGATACTCTTTTCGTGTAAATATCAAACGGAATATGAACACCTTGTTTCCATTTAGCAAACGTTTCGTGGTCCTCGAACGGTTGTTTAAGTGGTGGTTTCTCCAATTCTTCTAGCTGAGTCTTTTCAGAACGGCGGATTTCCCTTTTTATATTATAGTTGGGTTTGTAGCTGCTTTGGTATGTGGTATCTTTTTGAAATGGATCTAATGGCGGCAAACTTCTAGGCTCCATTTAAGGATAGTAAAAAATAAATTGACACAATTTCACGTCCGCTGTCACCCATTTTATATACAAGTAGTTGGTCATTGTTACACTTGAGCTCAATAAAAAGTGGTATAAATGGTATTTTATTGTTATTTTATATTTTTGGCCATAGTTCAAATTCTGCTGTCATGAACATCCGAAGGCGACGGTTTATAGTCATTGAATTGTCCATTGTCGTGCTTTTCTAATCGCTTGTTGATTTCGTTATGTTTTTATTTATTCAAATTTATAAAAATGTGAGAATTTAATGGACTAACGATAAAAATTAAATGTTGTAACGACTCAACATCATCATATTATAAAATGAACGACAAGGAATTTTTGCAACGATTTCGTTTAACAAAAAATAAAGGCGCTTTTCAAATTGCTTCCCCAGTAATCTTTCGGAGAAGCAGAATCTACCGTATTCATTGGATAACATTGTCCGTAGAAATCAAGAATTATCAGCCTCAAAAATAGTACTTCCAACGGTGATATTTCCTACAACCGGAAGAGTTCAATGTTCTGGTGTAGATGAAGCGGTAAATTTTAGAAATCAAAGAGGATATATTTTTTTAATGTCCAAGCAATTTGTGGCCATCAGTTAAAAATTTGGGACATTGTCTGTCGCGCCTTTTGAAAATGGAGAGTTTGGTGGAAACCCCTCTGTTGGGGGATAGTGGTTATGGTATCAAACCTTACCTGATTACTCCACACTCTAATCCAAGAACAAATTAGAACTAGAAATCTAATAGAGAGATGGTTTGGAGTTTTCAAGGTTCCCTTAGCATTAGCATTAAATTGAGTGTCTAAAAAATTAAAGAAAATGTTGTTTCATGCACATTTATTCATAATATTGCACGTACGAGGTGTGTTCAAAAAGTATCGCGAATTTTGAATTTTCGCGGGTTACGTATATTCGAATTTCGAATTTTTTGTGGCGTTATGTTGGTACTCATGTCTCTCATTTATGCCGACAAGCTCGGTCATTTTGAATGTTCATTTAATTGTTGACAGCTGCTTTGCTTGCACGTGTTTTGGATCGTCTTCGATTTTTACCTATTCAAAAAAATGGATCAAAGAACCTGTATCAAATTTTGTGTGAAAAACGAAATTAAGTGCGCGGATGCATTCCGAATGTTGACTGTGGCATGCGGAGAAGCTACCTTGGACCGAAGCAACGTTTATCGGTGGTACAAAATGTTCTCAGAAGGCCGAGAAGATGTGAACGACAAAGAGCGTGCCGGACGCACGAGCACTTCAACAACAGACGAAAAAATTAATGAAGTGGCGAAAATGGTATTGGCCAAACGTCGAATCACCGTTAGAGAAGTTGCTGAGGACCTAAACATATCGATGGGCTCGTGCCATTCGATTTTTATCAATGATTTGGGCATGAGACGGGTCGCCGCGAATTTCGTACCAAAATTGCTCAATTGTAACCAAAAACAGCATCGCATGAACATTGCTAATGAGATGTTAAACTCTGTCCGCGACGACCCAAATTTGCTCCAGAGGGGCATAACTGGTGACGAATCCTGGGTTTATGGTTATGACGTGGTAACCAAAGCTCAATCATCTCAATGGAAGCTGCCGCACGAACCAAGACCGAAAAAAGCGCGCCAAGTTCGGTCGAATGTGAAAGTTTTGCTGACAGTTTTGTTCGATTGCAGGGGCGTGGTGCATCATGAGTTCTTGCCACAGGGAAGAACGGTCAATAAGGAATATTACCTGCAAGTTATGCGCAATTTGCGCGAAGCAATCCGCCAGAAACGCCCGGATTTGTGGAAGAACAAAAATTGGCTATTGCACCACGATAACTCCCTTGCTCACACATCGTTGCTTGTGCGCGACTTTTTGGCCAAAAACAACACACTAATGATGCCGCAGCCACCGTATTCCCCAGATCTGGCCCCCTGTGACTTTTTCTTGTTCCCTAAACTGAAGAGGCCCATGAAAGGACGACGTTACGCTTCTCTTGACGAGATAAAGACGGCATCGAAGGAGGAGCTGAAGAAGATTAAAAAAAATGATTTTTTGAAGTGCTTCGAAGATTGGAAAACCGTTGGCACAAGTGTATAATATCTCATGGGGATTACTTTGAAGGGGACACAATAGATATTCATGAATAAATAAATAATTTTTGAAAAAACACAAAATTCGCGATACTTTTTGAACACACCTCGTATGCTCAAAAATGATTCATTTGACATTTTCAGCGTTTGTTAGATAAATGACTTTATTATCTTTATTAGGTATTTTAATTTGCATAATTTCCATCAGTACCAATATTATAAACATAAAACTGCAACATAATTAATAATTAGTGAAATATGATTTATATGTAAGGCGCCATTCAGATAGTTAATTCTAAACAATTACAACACGAGTTCCCGCATCTCCTTTATTTTAACATTGCGAGTTATTTAATTGACTTTAGTCCTCAGTATCAGAAACGTTCCCCAAACGCAAACGACTGAGTCCAGGTCTGGATTTCCGATTACTTGCAATAAATTTGAGATTTATTTTTCGCTTGACAGAGACAGATGAAGATCATTAAATTCGCGTTTAACATCGACTCTCTGGGAGGTCAACCGTTAAACCAGAGATTTCTGGATTGTATTTAAATATTTTCATTTAAAAAAAAACGCGTTAAAATATCGATAGAACATTGTGACCAAAAAATCGTAATCGTAATTATAACTCACCCATCAAACATGTGCGTGTCAAAATATTGCTAGGAAAGCGTTACCGCGCAAATGGTATATTTCCAAAAAACATTTTCCAATAAAGTTTCCGCAAGTTTTAGTTGTATGTGTTTACCGCCGATGCGATGTAAATAAAACGCGCATATATTCCTCAACCCTCATTGCCCCCACGCCGAAAATAAAACCGAGTCGACGTATTTTTGAGTTTGAAGGGATAAACGCGATAACAGCAGGGATATAAAGGGGAGACCTGAGAGAGAAATTATCGGAAGAGCAATATTTTTGATGGAAATAATGTGAGAAGACGGGCGTATCAGCTAATACACAATAGGCACTTGTCCAAACCCTATATCGATTTCCCTTGGGGAATAAATATATACCTACGTCGGAAAAAAATCAACCGCAGGAGTGGAAAATCGATAACTGTGCAGCAAAAATCCCAACTTTTTATGTTTTATTCCAAACTGTAACATATTTGATAGATATATATTTAGGAGTTAATACTCCGTCTATAGATATCAGCAATAATAGTCATTTTGGCATGTGGTGGTTTCACGAAGTAAATGAAACAATGTAAAATGTAATCGTTGAAGCCGTTGATAACTCTCCAAATTACTCACCAACGGACCATCTGATGAGGGATCAAACTCTGAGACCTTCAACCGTAAACTATTACCCGTTACGTATTCTTATTTGTCTATAGGTGATTTAAGTAGGCTTGACAATGCGAACGGTTGAATTTTACTCAATATAGATGCCATCATTGTTTTAATCCACATCCCTCGTTTAACCGTCCAAATTTCAGAATTTTCAGAAAATTTCAGAAAAGCGCAGATATTTCTGGCAGCAAACATAGAAAACTGTAGTCTTAAATTATTTGACTGTGAGAAAGAATGACAAGTACAAGTCCATGCCAATATTATCCAAAACTGAGAAAATGTCCCCATTTCGGTGATATCAGTTTAGATACCTAAACAGTTTAAATAACAAAGAGGTTTCCAAGAACTGATAAATAATGAATCTGCATATTCAGGGATGGTGGATGACTTTCACATTTAGAATAAAATTTTCATGCGTTAGTTGGTTGTAAATCATCCTAGAATATTTACTATGCTTATGTTTTATGGATTTTGTATCTTTATTTCCATTTTTTCCATTTCCATTTTAAATTAATGTTTGGAATTTCAAAAACACTGACATAGAGATATTGAGATGCGTTGTTGTGGTTTAATGTTCAAAACAATTATTTAAATCTTCGCTCATATAACTATAATTCTAAAAACTCTGTTACTTTAGTTATAATCCTCACTCCTATAAATATATTGACCAAATAGTCTTATTGTACAGATAAATTTTAATCACACAAAATCACAAACCGAAAAAAAAGCAAACTTTGAAAAAATTAATGAATGAATGAAGACAGTACTCGAGTACCGATTAATATCCGAAGAATTCGAATACTTGACTTAGCACTAAATATAACAATCTAGAAGTTTTGTAAATTTTCAATATAATACCCAAGCAAACTAAAATTTCAAAATTGCACAAAGTTAAATAGGTTTTCTGATCCTTAAAGCAAAACAAAATGTCTCAATTATTTATGTGATAAAAATATTTATCAAACGCGTCATTTTTGTAAACCGATTAAAAAGTAATCCGTG